GGGAAATGGTCAGCTCCGTTCCTCTCCAATATCAGCAGTGTAAGCCAGTCCGCAGCCAGCACAGCCCGAGGCCATCAGACGCCGAAGGGTGCTGGCCAGGAATTGCAGAAGGGCGTCGGCCTTTTGCCCTCAGCTAGTCGGACTCTAAACTTCGGGCCACATATGCCTCCCTCCGCAATATTATTTTAATCTATCTTTATTAAAGGATAATACATATATAGTAGATTACTTTTAAATGTTCAGTTTAGTTAGAAAACATCTGGATGAATAACAAAGATGTTGTTACTAAAAGCCTGTCTTTTCATTTAATCATTGTATTATTGTAATTTTCTAGATGAGGCACAGACATCATGTTAAATTGTTTTACTACTAAAAACACTAAGAAACACTCTCTCATATTTCTAATGTCAAGAAATTGAGATTCTGAAGGCTCTCTTCACCAGGTTAGCCAGTAGCATGAGTGAGATACAGCTTCAGATGCAGACTCCAAGTAGTCTATTTAGACTGTTTCAGATGAAATTGAGACATCTGTATGTGAGTAAATGTTTAAAGCTCCCGTTATAGCTGCTGGAGTCTGAAAGTTTCAGTCTCAAGCAAATGAATAGGAGCCTACTGTGAGAAGGATCCCACACACAAGTTATTTAGGAACATGTTCCTTCTTTCCTTTCCAATTGAAATACAACCAGTGCCCAGAATAAAGTCACATTTTAATATATTTTTGTCATTCATGTCCAGTAGTTTTATTCTTTGGTGAGACAGCACTTCAAGGAGCTATCTACCTAGTCATACTCAAAGTGAGGTGTGAAGACATTCACAAACTTTCCTGCCTAGCGGAAAGCAAGAATAAAAGGGCAGCTGTGTCAGACACTTTGCTGGTCCCAAATTAAAGCTGCAAGGTCTGGATTTGAGGCTGACACTGGCACCTGCTCAGTGCTTTCAGAGACTTCTGTGTCTCAGGAGGGATACTGCACTTGTGAATTAGCAACAGCAGCCTGCACTCATTGTTTGGGGATGCTTCTAAGCCCCCTTGACCATTGGAATTTGTAATACATTCAGAAGCAATCCCCAACTAATCACTCCTGCTCTTTGGGAAGTTTCTGCTTTTCCAACTCCCCTGCTGTGACCCAGTCACCAGCCAAAGCCACTGCCCTGGTGGCTGTGGGGAGCCTGTTTATGCAATGCTGGAAGAGGTGTTTGCCAGAGCAGTGGTTTGCAATAAGCTGTGTAAGCATGTTCCTGGAATTCAGTGCATTAATCACGCTGCATTTCATTCCCAGGGCAGCACGCTGCAGGGTGGGTATAGAATCAGTTTTGACAGAGGGGAGAAATTTCAGGCTCAGGAGCTCCAAGATTTTAGAATTTCCCAAGAACATTAGATTAGGCTGGTTTTTTCCTTATGCTCCAAAACATGGATGTTTTGTGAAACAAATCTCAAAATAAACTTCATTTATGAGTATAAGCAGAATTTGAAGCTCATAGCCTTTACCTTAATATTTTTGCCAGGGCCCAGATACTTCTGTTCTTTTAGCAGACAGAATGAACATATAAAATAACAATGGCCAAGACCCCCTGGCTTGGTGGGGAACAGGTTCAAAATCTGCAATGCTCTGTCTATAGCTATTATGCACAGTAAGGCTCACACTGTTATCAGTTTCTCCCAACTCTGGCAGCTTTGCAAATTCTGGTAACCTACAGCACCTAAACAAAAATGAAATTTCTAAAGGAGTACAATTGGAGTACAATTAGGAGTACAAACCCCTAATTTAAAATGTTCTTCTTTAATCACGAACTTCACAAAGGACATTCTGTAATACAGAATTTATTCATTCACTTAAAATGCCCAAGATCTGCCAAACTATGAATTAATAATGATAGCTAGTCTTTTATGTCAAATCAATCTTACCACTTCCCCTCCTGGGGGAAAGTTCGTGATATTTTGTTATTTGCTTCAAGTAATTTCAGTGGACTTCAGGCACGCAAGTTCAGCAGCGGATAGCTTGAACCCTGCCCTGCCTTTCTCAGCAAGGTGATAGTGGAGTCTGTGACATGTATTTGTTTGTGCCTGGGTGTGGGGATCTCTGGGTAGTTACTGTGTCCCTTATGGGAATGATTCCAGTAGCTTCAATGAATGCAGGATCAAGCAATTAAATGGAGGGGAAAGCAAATGGCTTAGGGCAAACGACAAACAAACTGTAGGTTTATAGGCTGCAAAATGAAGCAAGGAGACAACCAAGGAAAGGTGAGGTTAGTTCATCATCCAGGGCTGCATTTCAAAGATTGACCTGTCCAAAGGGAGAGAGAAAGAGGACCTGATTTCATTAGCACTAACACAGAACACAACTGCGCAGAACAAGAGATACTTCTGTGTTTTCCCCTTTGATAAGTCAGTGGCAAAGGACCAAACACATAAAACAAATTGGGGACAGTAAATCCCACATTGTAATCCTACTTCCCCATCTCCCTTCACCCAGAAATGACTGCTGGACCCTCTTCAATGACAGGATTTGTGGCCAGAGTACTCACTTATTTTTTTTAATTTTTTCCCCTTGCAGTCCATGCAGCATAAAGTGTGGGCATAGTTGAGGAAAGGCTGGGAAATTCCCAAAGGTCCAGCTCATTCACAGGTTGCTGCCAAAGAATAGAGGTTCAGCAAAAGGAGGTATAGAGACAGCCCCTAGCCAGGACTGCCTGTAGATTTTCCCTAACACATTATTTCGAGGTAATGTTTGTGCCTGAGACAGGAGGGAGCTGAGCTCAACTCAATACCCCGGTGTCCCTCACCAGCACAACACACCTGCTTACATCCCCCTCCAACAACATTTCTTTCACCACCACCCTAGAAACAGCCTGGGATCCTCCCCAAGCTGCTGCATCCCAGTGAGTGACCGGGAGCTTCCCCTGCTGCCCTCACACCCCACTGGGAACTTATCCCGTGACCCCACCAGTGCAGCCATTAATCCCTGAGAGAGCAGGAGGAGCAGCCTTAAATCACAACACTGCAGCCACGCAAAACAATCTAGGTTTTTTTTTATAGCATATTCTAAAAGATCTGGAAGGACATGCTTTTTGCTTATCTGCCTTCCAAATAACCTATTGCCTGTTCCTCATTAGTGCACATTAACACAAGCTGGAGAGACAACCTGGCATTACAAAGGATACTGAGGGATTATGAGCTTCTGTGGTTTGTAAAATGTAAATTTACATTTGAGGGCAGGCAGGGGACATCAGATATCTCTGTTTCCCCTGCAGGGATTTTTGGAAATTGCTCCATATCAGATCATGCAGTGGAAAATGCTTTCAGGCCTGGAGCATGAGGTAAGGAGTCAACAGAGCAACACAGAACACAAAGGAGACAGACTTCTGAAAGACTGGACGGAGCCTGACTCACCGCAGGAGGGTTTTTCTAAATCACATTGGGTGTTTTATTGATGGCACTTTCATACTTGCAGTTGAAGTCAGTGGCCTGGTAAACATTTGATTTATTGTGAGTTTCACCACTGAAAAAGAGCTGCTCACCACTCAGCTCTGGCAGGTTGAGCCAAAGTTTCAGCAAGGCTTGACTACAACCTACCTTCAGGTACAGATCGTTCAGATATTACCTCCAGTGGTGTTTTCTGAGCAGATAGGCAGAAATCCTCTAAGAGCCCTGACTGCAGGACACAGATTTTGCCTATTTTGGGCTGAGACATGTTGCCATGTAGTGCAAGAGTTCTATTATCATTACATTGCAAAGGTTCCATATCGCCAGAGTTTCATACCTCCTTGATGTTTCTTGTAGGCAGCTCCTCTAGGCACTGACTTTTCCTTGTCCTTACACCAGCCAACTAACTCCAGCTCCCACCAATCCACACTTTTATAATACTCTTCTGACTGGCCACAGGTGTGGCCTGTTAACATCAGGGCTGCTCCTAATCCTTACTAATTGGTTCAGCTGCAACTCTTTAGGGGGTAAGGTTACATCCTCTACCACCTTCATTTACCCATACTATATCCTCATACAAAGACAATGTTGGGTTTTTCCTCTATCCAATAGTTTGTGGCAGGGCTGAGCAAAAGGAATCTTGAATAGGTTCTGTGAAGAGCTTCCCACCTCAGTACAAGTAGATTGAGGCAAGAGGTCCTGCCTTTATCTTCCTACATGTGTGTGCAGAGGAAGGATGAGTCTGCCCAGCAACATGAATGCATAACTCCAGCCCATCTAATTACTTTTTTTCTCAGTGCTCAGACACATAACAGCAATATCTGAGTCTTAGCACAAAGCTATTTTACTGTGGTCTAAGATATTATGTTCTCTTTGCATTTGACAGGGGCTGAGCATGTACCAGTACCCAGCATAGCTGATTTTGTGGCATCCCAAAGAAGCACTAGCAGTAAAGCTGTGGAATTAGGGCTGCATGACACACCTGAAACATTGTGCTCAAGGCACAGACATCCCCTGTCCCAGGGCTTTGGCTCTTGATGCTCAGCCAGTAATGAATCCCATCATATCCTCCTCACCACACCGTGTGGTGCAGATATCAGCTGCTCTGCAGGGTCATTGCTCAGCAGGTTAAGTCGGTACCACAGCCTTGAGCTTTTGCTGCTCAGGGATCTAAACCACACTGGTTGACACAAACACCTCCTGCACACCTAATTCTTATCACATTCAGAACTTTTGTTCCTTTTTCATTTAGTGAAAAATGGTTGATGGCCATGGTGACAAATGAGCATCTTCCTCTGTCAGAGCCAAATTCTGTGGGAGGTGACAGGTAAAGCTGAGCTGGCTTCCCAACAGGGAGCCCCTGAAAGTCCTTTCTCTCTGCTTTCCTATGAGGCTATGCTGCTTTGAGGAAACATTTCTGAGAAAACCTATGAGTAGGGAGAAAGCACAAGCTGTACTTTACAATGCTGAATAATTCACACATCAGTATACAGACAGAAAACTGTAAATTATCTCACACTTAGATGAAAGATAAACAATCTTATTATAAGAAATTAACTGATTTGGCTCACTTATCTCCTGGACTACATGTCTGAACCTAGCCTGAAGAGATGGATACATAATTCCTATGTTAAGCAACAGCATCGCTATTGGTCTAAAGGTATATCAAGAGAAGACATCCTTGTAATTTGGAGACATACATAACTTACTGTAATACATCTATATAATCCTGCTATTTTCTACAGAAACTCAGATTTACACAATAGCATTTAATGAATACAGCTCTTGGCATTAGTTGGATTGTCATATACTTTGGAAGAATTTCAAGCCTTACTTAACTTAGAGTTGCTGCAATACAAAGAGGTACCATGGAGTCAGAATTCATCTAATCCCCTGAGGTAAAACAAATGTCACAGGTAGCAGCCAGGTCCTTCTCCTCTGAAATGCCTCCACCAAACATTAGTGCCAGGAACCAAAGCTGACCTATTTTGACTGAGGCATTTTGACTTCTGCTTGATGTTGCAATGATATTCCCAGCACTCTTGTTAAAAATCATGGTCTCAGCTCAGCTCCTGAGTCTGTTCCAAGCTCAGAAGCACTTCTGTCCTCTACTAGAACCTGCTGTGGTCTCTGCTATGATTTACTAACTTCACATATCTGATTTCAACGTTCATTAGAATTTTCTCAGGACTTCAAGTGGAAGCCTTTGTGACAACTGACAGAGTCTAGATATAGTAGGGAGCAAATCCTCAAGACCCAGACTGAGGAATTAACCTGAAAGTATCCAAATCCACAGATGTGTGTTGTGAGTCCCTCTTCCCTAGTGCTGTCTAGTGGATCAGCTCTATAAAGAAGCAAGGGAAAACTATGGCCCATGAAGGAAATAACAAAATATAAAGGGAGAATTTATACCTCTACAAACGAAAAAGGTGAATAGATTTGGTGCTATCTCCACAAATACATGGAATACTGTACAGGAACATAAGACTAGACAGGAATTCTTCCATTGTCATGCCCAGAGTCCCAGGCACAATTTGATCTGCTAGTGATTTGACTCCTCCTGTCTCTTCATCTGAAAAATGTGGTTTAACCTGTTTCTCATACCATGGTCTCCCTCTTACCACACAGAGGCAATTAATAGCATGGAAGGGTGCTTGGAAAGATGTAATACAACTTCTTTCTGTTCTGTTCTGGAGAGCTTTACCCAGTGAGGACTCCTGCAGAGCCCACAGAAAATAATCCCACCATAGCTGACATATCCATTTCCCAGACACCTTTATTTCTATCTGGCTAGAAGTTCCTGAGGAGGATCATCTCTGCAGATGTGTTTATGACTGTAGTTCATCCTTATGTAACATTATACACTGTAGTCATTGCTAATATCAACAGCTATTTCACTACCAATTCTCAATTTGCAAAGCACAGTGACTGCAAATTACCCTTGATTTGTTTGCATCATTTACAGAAAACAAACCTCCCAAAACACAAGTCAACATGTCCATCTTATTTATCACTGCAGCCTATTTTTAATTTAGCATTTTTGAAGCGCTGGATTTGCTTATTGCTGTCTTTGCACAGAATAATATTCCGTTATCATAGTATTTATATCAGAAAATGCCAACAGCTAAATTTGTAAAAACAAACTTGAATAACTTTGAATTGATTTGAATACACTTTGATTAGCAACCATAAAAGATTGCTTATAAAATACAATGGCCTGGAACTGCAGCTTCCCATTTCCTGATATCACAGATGTCCTGTTATTATGTCTCAGTCAACAGATACGCCAACAGCAAGGCAGCTACCAGACTTTATAAACTTCCTCCAAAGTCTGTATTGCTAACTATTCTGACTGTGATATGGACTCCCGCAATTACTTCCACCAGCAAATGCAATAATTTTTGAGAGGTAAAAACCTGTTGGATATAAGCCAATATTCCTGTATTGGTAAAATATTAATAACTTAATAACAGTATATCAGATGCCTTAGCATGAAGGAAAGGCCAAAAATAGCTGTCATCCCAGGTGGAAAGATAGAAATTATCTTTCAGACTTATCTCTTTAAATTAGCATTTACAAACCAGCAAAGACTGAGTCCAGTCTGAGGATGACCAATACACATTGCAGTCTGGAACTCAGCATTCCGGTATCATTGACCCAACTGAAACCCAAATTTGATCATCTTTGTCAGTTTCAACAAGGGGACAAATGGCTAAAAGATGTGGCTGGAACACCTGCTTCTTGTCTGCCCTTACTCTGGCCATGAGACCTAAGTTTACTACTGGTTGGCTGAAGGCTAAAATCTATAAAATACCTGTTTTGCCTATTTCTGCTGACATTTTTGTAGCACTCCCCTGCTTCTCTGTATAATCGGATGTTGTGCGTTCATTAACCTGTTGCCTTATATATCAAGAGTTCTATTGTCATTACATTGCAAGGGTTCCATATTACCAGAGTCTCATACCTCCTCGATGTTTCTCGTAGGCATCTCCTCCAGGCACTGACTCTTCCTTTTCCTCACAGCAGGCACTGACTCCTGTTCCCTCAACAAACCAATCCACTCTTTTATAACACTCTTCTGACTGGCTACAGCTGTGGCCTATTAACATCAGGGCTGCTCCTAATCTTTAGTAATTTGTTCAGCTGCAACTCTTTAGGGGATAAGATTACATTCTATACCACCTTCATTTACCCGTACTGTATCCCCCTACATTAACCACTAGCACAGATTCCTCCAGGAAAGAGACACTGCAGTACTTATATGAAACAGGACTCAATGGATGAGGTTTAGGTTCTACCAGATGGCCAATGAAAAAAAATAAAGCCCATCACTGTGTTTGCCAGCAGTTCCAGCAGGATAATATCTCTGAAACACGGATGAAGTAGTGACTCCATGCACACATGTCCCTCTTGGTGTTGTTGTGGTTCAAGAGTCCCTGGGGATCTGCTGCACAGTGTTCCACTGCCTCAGGCTGGAGCAGCCTCCAGGTACCTGCCAGCTCCAGGGGGCAGGATGCTCTGCTTGTTCAGGACCAAAAACCACTGCTGAAGAGACATGAAAATACAGCCTGGTTCTTATCTGTGCCATATCTTGCTTGTAATTAAATAAGAATTCTGGTTTCCAGCTTGGTCAGTCCAGTTTTGCCCTAAACAATGCATTCACTGTAACCTCTAGCCCCCTGAAGTGAAATATTAAAATAAACATAACATTCATTTCTTCCAAACTATGCATTTATCTCATTTAATAGTTTCAGAGAGCCACATTTCCTTCTCCTTCCTCCAAAAGCCAGTCTTGCTGATAGAGAATGATTTTGTTCTGTTATTTCCTAATACTCTGGGTAGTCAAAACCCAAGTGTTATTTCCACTTGGCTTGATTTTTCCATTCTTGAATTAATGCAGTCTGTTCCAGAGGTAAACAAACATCATGACTATTTAACAAAAAATACATCTACATTGAAGGGCAAAGCCAGGTATTGTGACAACAAACCTGGTACCTCAGGACACAGCATAACAGATGAAATTATTTAACCACAAGAATTTGTTGTGGGATCTTGCAGGGGCTTGAGGATAATTTCACTCATTTCCCATAGGAGACAGATCTGAACTTCATAAAATTGTTCTTAAGAAAACAAGAATAACAAATGGGGATTTTACTGACAGACTGAGGAAATACTGCTTGTAAATTATTTTTGACACAGATTCAAAAGTTACAGGCAAAAGAACGTTTCCTTTGTTTATGAATGCAAGATTCACTTTATTGAGATTCTGGTGTTTTTAATAGATAGGTCAAAACAAGTTTAAATGATTCCCTGTATTCTCATGGTGTATTGCTTTGCATTTGAAATTGGGCATGAAAACCACCCCAAGGAGAGTGGCAAGGCAAGTGGTTTGCCTCTGAGCCAGGGAGAATTTCATGGTCTGACAAGGGTGAGTGTGCCCATGCTCTGGGTGATGTGGGGCACATCCACTGATATCACCAGCACCCACTGCTTTCAACCACGGTCATGAACTTTATTACTTTTCAAGTATGTTGGATTATGGTAGTAAAAATACTAGGAACATCTAAGGTCAGCTAAACTACTTAAAATCCATTAGGTGGTCCTAAGGCAGGGCATCAAGCAACATGGAGAGAAAAATGAAAATAGTACATAAGAATAGGCAGAATAATTTGACAGAATGATGTGTTGGCAAAATGTAATCATTGTAGATGTATTATAGGCAAAAAGAGTTTTGTACTGTGTCATGGTTTGAGCCTGGCACAGAGCCAGTGCCCCCCCATGAAAATGCCTCACCCTGGTGTCTGCTGTGAAATGTGACCAGGAATAAGCAAAACAGGCTCTAACTTAAACATAAAGAACACTTTATTACTTAAACTACAGGAAAATAGGGAAAGACTATAAGGAAAAGAAAAAAAGAAATTGAAAACCTTACAAAAAAACTTTCCTCCTCCCCACTCCCTGACTTTCCCAATCCGATACATTCTCCCAAATCAACTGCCCAGCCTTGGCCCCACACTTTAGTATACTCAAACTGCAGTTCATGAAGAGGAAAGGAGTCCTTCTTGTTCCATAGGCTTCTCCTGGAAACACACTGAAACCTCGTGTGCTTCCCTGTCACTTCGGCACCGCCCGGAAAAAGTCCTTTTGCCGCTTGTGACATCTTCCTTCCATGCCCAGTGCTCTCACCACTGACGGCATGGACCAGAGCTGCTTTTAGGGTTGTCTTTCAAGGATGCCTTGTCTCACTCCAAAAAGGCACAGTCTCTGCTTTGGGACATCTGTCCCCCCCATATTTTTCCAACCCCCTGGGGCCGGGGGGTCCTCACGAATGAACCCTCCTGGTTTTGAGGCACTGCCTCCCCCTAAATGCAGTCTGTGTCACAGGAACAACTGAGTCCATGGCCACAAGAAAAGTCCAGCCAAAAGGCCACTCCAAATCGTCTCTCCCCATCCAATCATCTCCACGTTCTTTGGGCCAGGTCCTTGTCTCATCTCATCTCTTATCTCCCTTCTTATTCAGCTTCGAGGAGGATTAGCATTTTTGCAAGGCCCCAATCATGAAAGAAAGGGTTAAAAGTTTTCAGTCTCTGTCTATCTCAGAATGCTGGTAGAATGCTGGTACTCCCACAGGTGCTGCTGCTCCACCGGCCAGGCTGCACTCTTCCCTCCCCTTTCTCCTCCTGGGCGGCTGCTATCACATTCAGACGCCGGCTCTCCTCTCTCTCCCTCCTGGGGGGGGGGAATGGCTGCCCGATGTCTCTTGGGGCTCCCCCACCCTTCCATCCTTGAGAGCTTTCTCACCCCCATCTCTGTCCAGGCCCCGGGCCTACCGCATGGCTGCCCCTCCCCCGCCCAGCAGCAGCGGCTGGGCTGGACGGGGGAGAGATCTGACCTCTCCGCCGCGACGTCCCAAGAAAGAGTGCCAAGGGCAGTGCCCTGCTTTTAACCCCTGTGTATTCTCGGAGGTGTGTCCAAACCCCACTGGCTACACCGGGTGCCAGTCTCAAACCCAAAACCTTCATTGGTTTGACCACAGCTTCCCAGAATTCCCACTCCTTCCTGGTCAAACCACCACATACAGCTAAATTATGGCAATTGTCAATGTATCTAAATCTGAATGAAGGTACATAGAAAAGACACTTTAAGTTACATGACAACAACACTTCTGAAATATCCTTGCCTTTCTTCCCTTTCTTTTTTTCTTATATGAACTTCCTTACACAGGCAAGTAATTTCATTAACTGGAATTTATAAATTGTCATAAAATGTCAGTTTGGAAATATTCATTCTACAGTGAAGTTCCATTCACTAACACTGAAATAGTAAATTAGATTATAAATATATTAATAGAATAATATTTACATTAATATAGAAGCGAAAAGTCAGAATTCCTACATGAAATCAATCTACAGATACAATTAAATTTAAATTTTCCCAAAGATTTTTTTCTCTGGCCTACAACAAACCAGGGTGGATCCCTCAAAGAGTTAGGCTATAAGCTGCAGTTGGTGCTGCTTTACATGAATAATGCCAAAATCTGAATGATCAGAACCCAAACTCAGGTTCTGCCCAGCCTCTCAGTGCACTGAGAGCTGTTTTCAGCAGCAGCATTTCTCATGTGCACTGACCTGTCTCAGCAGGGGTGGCAGCTGTGATGTAACCTCCATCTGAAAGGACCTGCATTTCCACATGTGCTGCTTCAGAGTCCTGACAAGAGTTAAGGTCTCCTCAGAAGTAGACACAAATTTTGAATAAAGCTCTATATGTTGATAATCACTTGCTGTCAACCACAGTTTAGCATACAGCAATTTTCTGTGAGTGGAGAGTCTGTAGGCCCACACTGTCTCTGCCTGAAGGCAACCAAATCTGTTTTCTGTATGAGTCCCCTTACCACTAAGATAAAAATTGTTTTGAGAAGGGGCCAGACTGAACCAGAGAAACTGAGGGAATTATTTTCAAATCAGGCTTAGGTTAAAGTCTCAGTAAAGCCTATGATTCTCCTGAGAGGAGGCTGTGGCATTGCTTGAGAAGCAGAGAAATCTGCACTGCAGTTCTTGGCTACCTTATTTTGCACCAAGAAGTTACTTGGCTGTGGCAGGGGGCAGAAAGAGAGAAGGTGCCATGGCAGTCATGCTGTGTCACCCTTGTGCTTACTCCCTCTCTTTCTGGTCAAATGAATATCTGATCAGCTGATATAAAGTCAAAGGATTTCAGATAGAGTCAGCTGCAGAAAACAGGAGAGTTTTACACGGCCACACTTGTCTCCCCTCAAGTGAAACACAAACCCCCCTGTCTGTGATCAGTCCTACTCTTAGAAAAGAGCAAACCCAAAGTACCCAACACTTTTATTGATGTTTTAGGAGACATGTCCTCCATTAGAGGAGTCATTGTCTCTGCTGTGTTTGGAAGAACAAAGGGTCAGTGACAGAGGGAGGGCAGCGAGCAGCGTTACCTCATGCAGGATGAGAGGAGAGTTCAGGAGGCACTCACAGGAATGTTTGTAAAGCCCAGAGGGCACTCAAGTGTCTGTGCTGTGATATGAATTAAAGCTAACAAACTCTGATGTCTTTTGAAAATCTACCTATTTATCCAAGACACGGTCCAGAGCAACAGATTTACCCCCAAGAAAATGTAAGATAAAGATTTTTGAATATTTCACAGATGCAGAATATCCCAGACATTCCATATTTTCTGGACACATTTGAAAGGTTTATTCCAAATTTGAGTGAATCAGCTTGTTAATCACTGTATTAAAATAATTAAATATACTGGATAAAAAAATAACATCTCAGAGGAATTGGAAAAGGAATAAAGTGGTTTCAGGTTCCTGGCCATATTTAAGCACAGCAGGTAGAAGCAGGATGAAGTGCTGTTCCTTTGGGAGACGGCAGCTTCCACTTCACTAGTTTATGATACTGGGGACTCAATAACTTGTAGAATTAATTTCAAAGCCATAGTAAAAGCTGAAAGGAAGGGCAAGGAAGCATAGACTGGGTACAATTGGGAAGGCACATTGGGTACAAATAGATGTACTACTAAATTCCACCAGTTATCAGCTGGAAGGGAAAAATATGTATATTAATAGATCTAATCAGAGAGTGGATAAACATCTTAGGCCCAATGGTAGACAACAGCCTGTGGTCAGCTGCCAGGTTGCAGAGAGCAGCTTTGATTCCAGCAGCTCACCAGGATGACTTTTGTTAAGTGGCATCAGAAAATCATGGTTTTACAGAACAACCATCTTCATTGTTCCAGCTCCCCAGAGAAACACATACAGAGAGTGCATAATTCCCCTGCATGACCTCCTTAATGCAGGCTGGGAAATAGCTCTGGAAGCAAGGCACGCTTTGGACAGGCTACTGCATTATTCCTTTTAGGAATGATATCATCTAGTCAAAAAGAAACGTAGCCTCGGTGTTTCTGGAAATTGAAATTCTCTCAGTGGAGAATGGTTGTTTTCTATGGGGATTAAAAACATTACTTCTCTGAGGAATTTTTACAGAAAAAAGTACTAATAGAATTCTATACTTGAGCAGGGCCAAGGGGTGTTGAAAACTTAGGGGAAGGCCAGGAGTGAAGTATGCTGGCCAACTTCAGATACAAATACGGAAATAAAAAGTCAATGTTGAGTAAAACCCTGAAATATGTTAAAAATGGCATCATAGCAACCAGGAAAGCTCATGAAAGTCTCACCTTTCATCAAAGTTTGGAGCAGAAACAGCAACACAGGTGTATTCCATCATTTCTATCAGCTGACATTGATGGCTGCTACTCATGGTCAGACACAGTGCATCTGACAAATTTCTGCTGTATACACTTGATATGATCCAGAATATACTTGTCAGTGGTACGATGCCTGAAATTGAGAACTCATGAATATACAAGTTTCATTTATGATGAAAGATGCTTGCAACACGACAGCTTAAGTAGCGTCTATGTGAGCTTTTTTCTAAAGGTGTTTAAAAAGCAAACCAAAGTATCTCTGCTAGTAACAACTTTTCAAAAGAAGGCAACACAAAATATTTATTCAGTGTCTGGAGCTGTGAACTAAAGGTGATGTCACTCCCCAGTTTGGTAAGATGATTTGTTTCTTTATGTCAGCTAGACATCAGCTGTAAATTGGGTCCTCCAGACTCACATTGATGTTCAACTCTAAGAAAAGTTAGGGTAGTGGTTTTAGCTTTCCATGGTTTTTTGTAAGACAAGATGCATCATTCCTTTCATCCATGCTTAAAAAAAAACCACAAAAAAACCAAAAAAAAAAAAAACCACCAAAAAAACCCCAAAAAACCAAAAAAAAAAAAACCCACAAAAATAGCCCCACAGCAGTGCTGTACCCCAGAATTGGCTCAGACTGGTAAATCCTAATATTCTTCTTACAGTTTGATACTTGATATCTAAGACCCAGAAAAGGGCAAGATTTTAGATTCATGTGATATACCTACTTAGATATATGGTGAGTTGTCCCTAAATTTTGGTAAAAACTCCTAAGTCTAGTAATTCAGTAGCGGAGTGATGGATTCTACTTCAGTGTCAAGTTCATTTTCTCAAGACCGTTCTGATGACACCTGTATCATTGATAGGATTTAATCAGTCTGCTCCCATTAAATCCCCGGAACAGCATTACTTATATATATGGCATATGTTTAATCTGCTATGATTAAGTGACTCCCAAAACAGTAAAGAGATATCTAAATGAAGAGAAGTTGAAAGATTATTATTCTTCTATCAAGATGACAGGTCTCTCACATCTCCTTATTTTTTACATGGCAGTGCTGAGTGGTGGTTGGCTTGTCTTAGATTTCTCTCTGGGTTATAGAATGGAGCAGTGGGCTCTGACTTAGCAGAAGGAGTCAGTTGAGTCATTTTGATACCATTACATTGTAGTCTTCAAACCCTCAGCCTACTCTGCTCTGAAAAATCTGCTCCTCAGAGAAAAGGGGAGAAGAAAAAAAGAAAAAACAAGGCACCGAGCATTTCACAAGAAAACTTGAGAAGCAGCGTGAGATATTTTCCTTCCAGACAACACTGTAGGTCTCATATGTTGTAGACAGAGATGGATCAGTGAGTGTGAGTGGAGAAACCAGGTTTTATTTCTTCTTGAAGTCAGAAACGACCTACAGCATATGAAAACCAAAGCCAACAGGGAAAGCACTCAGGCACTCACAGGTATTAAGAGAAACTGCAGAAGTTACCTTGACAGAGCAATATGGTTGTAAAAACTACAAATACCCCATGGCTGGCTGCTATTTGATGCAACTTTTAAGCACTCTAAGGTTGCATCATGGATGCACAGACTGCAGAGGGCTCACAAGGAACCTGCAGTGACACTGAACATGCAAGGACCACATCCAGGGACTGCCTTTGGCTCTTCTGTGAAAAAAGCAGTGTGTAAGGCTGTGGAAGCAAACTGCTGGGGAAAAAAAATGAGGAGTTAAATAGAGGATTTTTGTGCAAGACTAATTATAGAGGAAAGTTACTTCTAGTGTAACTTGCACCTCACTTGCTTAAGGGGTCACACAAGAAGGATAATTCAGGAGGTATTCAATTATTAAAAGAGAAGAGGATAAATAAGAACTAATTTAGTAAAAAATCAAGATGCCAAGAACAAATGTAATCAAGGCACTCAGGGATAATAGGAGACAAATGTGCTAATTTCCTATACAGCAAAGTTACTGACCTGTGTAATAATAGGAATTGAAATGCACTCTTGAGCATATATTCAGCCTTCTGAGGAGGAATGAAACTTGCTGAGGTCTGCAGGATTGGAATGCTGCTTCATCTCCTATTACCTGTTTAGGAAAGGATGAGTGGACAAAGAGGGAGGTAGAGTGTTATTCTCTGTCAAAAATAATATTGTTTGCTGGAATCACTTAGAGCTCAGAAGCAAACATTTAATGGCTCTTCACAAGCTAATATCCTGACAGGTAGGACAGAGTGCCACAGACCAAAGCCTTGAGCACAAGCTGGTGAACCTCACACTATGAACAAGAAAGCATGCAGGTTACTGAGCCATGCAAAATAAAGGAATCAAAACAAAGTGAAAACAAAGGGAGGTGAGCCTGTGGAGTTGATAGTCATTAAATATAGTTCACAGCAAAGAAGAAATCATTCAATAGTCAAGAAAAAAGGCACCTACATGATAAGCTGTAAAACTGCTGATAGAAGAGAAAAAAAATAAAGAGGAGGAAAAGAGGAAGACAGCACAAACAAGGATCCTCCCTGCTATCACCTTATTACAAAGTTCCATACCTTCTTGGTGATTTCTCATGGGCACCTCCTTGCAGCACTACTTCTCCATAACACAGCCAACAAACTCTATCTCTCTCTTCACCCAGCTACCCCACTCTTTTGTAGCACTCCTCTTCTTACTGGACACAGCTGTGGCCTATTAAGGGCAGGCCTGATCCTAATCTTTGGTGATTGGTACGGGTGCAACTCCTCAGGTGTGAGATTGCCTTCTGCCCTATTCTCTTACGTTCTATCCCTCCACACCTCCCTTTCCACAGATCATTTTGTTGATGTTTGGTTGTCCAGCACATCTCATTGGTGTCCAGCAGTGGTGTGTGAGCATGACAAAGGTTCGGTTGATAATGGGTGGTTCCAGCTCACTGAAATGCATAGAAACAATGGATGAGATGATGGCTGTGTATTCCCAAACTGCCTGGTCATGCTCTTCAGCCTCTGCAGCTGCCAAATGGTGATAGGAACAGGTAACTTCAGTGTCACGTCCTCACTCACCAGCATTTGCCTCCTTGCACCTGAGCCAGCTTGTTTGCACCTTGCCAGAATTTTTGACAGGAACTGCTGAAACGTCTTGCAGTTTCTGCTATTCAGAACACAGCTGTTGCCTAAAAAAAAAAAAAAAAAAAAAAAAAAAAAAAGATAAGTTTTGATATTAAAATGTGAACATGGGGAATACTGCTCCAAATCATCATGCAATCAGACTTATACTACTAGCCTGCTCAGAGTGAGCTCTGTGTGATGCTGCATCTCTTTATGTAGCTTCAACTTCAAGTGTTTATGATTTGAGCACATCTGCTCTGCATCTGTGAGCTCTCTGCTTTACATGAGCAGTTTCACAGAGTCATAACTGTGAGGACAGCTTTGATCACACCAATTGGAGGTAAAAAACTGAAATGGAAAAAAATAAATAAAAAGAAAAAAGTTAGAACCCTGTGGCTGGAAATGAAATCACTCCAGCTAAAAATTCAGACATGAGTGCTAAAGTGAAATAATGGGAATAATAATAATATTTAAAAATGTTTCACAAGCTTTGGGAGGAAAGAAGGAAAAGAAAGAAAAGAAAAAGAAAGAAAGAGAGAGAGAAAGAAAGGAAGAAAGATTGGGGAATATAAATTAGAACATAAAACTGTAATAACTGGTAAAGGCATAAGGAAAATTACAGGGAAAGGAAAGTTTTGGATAAAAGTAATGTTGTGCAAATAAATTTGGACAAAGGAATCTGTAAAGAAGTGAGGGTTTTTTGAACAGTAAATTATGTCTATAGAATTGTCTGCAGTAAGAGAAGAGGTTTCTCTTTTGGGCTTTGTAGAGCAGTCAATACGCTGGGATGGCAGCGCATCTAGTGATGACAATGGTGTATTTTCTCTTCTTACAGTGAGTAAAGAAACATTAAAAAACACTATTGAAATCGCATATTTTTATATCTGTAGGTCTGGGTAGCTTGCATCAGAGAGTTCAAAATGTTGTTTGAGCAGGTCTCTGTATCCTTAGCACTGATTTTCAATAAAACTTAAAACTGTAAGCTTGTTTCAGAAAATTGAAGGGCAGCCAGGGCCATAAGAAACTACAAAAAAAGCAAAGTACAGAATTTGATGGGCCTACTGGGCCTTTCAGCTCTAAAGAATGGCCAAAGAAAGGAGGGGTAGTAAAATTATTTCTTATTGCCTAGGAAACATTGAAAATAGGTTGTGTTGGTTAACTTGATATATTGTCTCAATGAAATAATAAATTTGGTTGAAAAAGTAATAAAGCTGATACAAGCACAGAGCCGTCTATAACTTCTGACCACATTTTCAATGGAAATTTAAGTATTACAAAATAAAAAAAATGCACATCAATTGTGTGCTTTTAAAGCTTAAGTGAAAACTCGGTGCATGGATATCTAAATACAGCTGGCCAATGAGCATGATCCTATTTAGCATTTTTCTTAAAGACTTCCAGAGAAGATTGACAGGTGAGATGACACTGTGAGCTGTGAAGGTGATCGCCCACAGCAAGTCTGGCATTAAACCCCAGGGAAGTTGGGCACAGGCCACGTTCCCCATGGCTGAATATGGTGACAGCAGACAGAGACGTGATGAAGGGATCATGCTTAGACTGTTCTGTGGTGTTCCCAAGTATTTCCTCTCAGTGGAGAAAAGACTGAACTGTTCAAACTACAAGTGAATTTTACAAGGAGAATTGCACTAGCTGGACACCATGGATGTGAAAACAAGTAATTTCTTTCAAGAAGGATTTTGTTAAAGGGCAGACAGTATGGGGAAGGAACAAGGGAAGGATGAAAAGACAGAAAATTGTTCTTTATACTGATATAATCAAAGAACTGTGCTGGCTTAGATTTATGCAGAGAAGATTAAGGGAATGACTTCATGGAGGTTTGTAAGTACTGACATGAGAACAAAAATCTCCTGATAGAGTGTCCTTCAGTACAGCAGTCCGAGACAGAATAATAAGTGTTGGGTGGAAGCTCAGGTTAGAAGGATCAGATGAGACAAAAAAGATGCATTAAAGACACTGGATCTGCCTTTTGCAGGGGTGTGTTCATGATCCTCAGAAATGTTTAAATGAAATCTGTTTTATAGGGAACAGGACAGACAGGGCTGAGCCCACCCTGAGCACATGTCTAGGGAGCCCCAGCCCTGCTCTCCTGAAGCTGAGCCATTGGGTAGCCAATGTGAATGGCCAGCTGGTCACCAAGGTGTGACCTAACTCTGGTGCTGTGGGCATGGGAGGTAGGAGAGCTACAGCTTCAGTCTCTGCTCCTGGGTCCTCCTTTTTGCCTTTTCCACAAGAAATTCATTTAAAAATCAACTCCATAATTTTATTTTTTTCCATATTCACACATTTTCTAAAGGAGTTGGTGAAACAGAGTCTGGGTTAGGCTACAACATTTATCAAATAGGATTAAGCCTAACCCAGTTACAGCTAATCATGGTAAAAGAGGGAAAAATAAAAAGTGGACAGACTGAACACAACTGGCCTGTGAGTGAAAAAAAAATTAGAAAAACAATTCTAAAGAATAAAATACATCTTCAGTTAGTGTTAATTGTGGAAGTTGCAGGCAGCCCCGACATGGGAATAGACGAGAATCTTGACTCTATGTTTCAGAAGGCTGGTTGATTATTTTATGATATATATTATATTAAAAGAAAATTATATACTAAAATTATACTAAAAGAATAGAAGAAAGGATTTCATCAAAAGGCTTGCAAGGAGAGAAGTAGAATGATAACAAAAGCTTGTGATTCTCAGAGAGTCCCAGCCAGCTGACTGTGATTGGCCATTAATTAGAAACAACCAACATGAACCAATCACAGATGCACCTGTTGCATTCCACAGCAGCAGATAATTATTGTTTTTCTTTTCCTCTGAGGCTTCTCAGCTTCTCAGGAGAAAAAATCCTAAGAATTTTTCATAAAATGTGTCTGTGACATTTAATTTTTCCTACACAGGCAGAATCCTTCCAAACTCTTCCTGGAGAGTGAAAAAGAATGGAAAGTTAAAAACATGAAGATATGTTTCCCTGATGCAGGGATGTCTCACATTAGCATTAATATAAATTACCCAGATGCTTCATAGTCTGAACAGGCTCAGTGCTTAAATGGACTCCACAGGAGCTGTTAGGAGCAAAGCAAACTGCACGAGAGGCTCCTGGAATACTTAATGCCACAGGCTTGTAAGAGATTCCTTTATTTTCTTAGGACCCCCATGTAGGTAAACATGTACCTTGGAAGAAGAATCTCAACATTATTATCTACACACACTGGAGTCAAAGCTCATTTTTTTAAAGGATGGAGACCATATGTAAAACCTACGGGAAACGGGAAATAGAAGATAAATATAAAAATTACTTTTTTAGCTGAGAGATATATTTTTCAGATATGTCAGTTACTGTCCAAAACGTAAAGTGACTCTTTTTTTCTCTTCTAGGTCTTTGTTATGTGGATTTTTTTAGCTCAAATATAATGGAGACCCACTCAAAAACATGACAGAGAGAATTCCATGTTACTGTAGACAAATTATCTCATGCAGCAGATTTCTAGATTGCTAAAATTCTCTTACATGCTTCTGTCTTAAAAACTTGTACTTGTTAAAATTCATGTATTCTGCTTATAAAATTAAATCAGTTGCTTCTCAATACAAATCTGTTATTTCATGCTTTTTTGGAACAGCTGTTTGGAAAAAGTAAATAAGTGAAATGATATATTTTAATTTTATTTAGTTATTCAACCAATAAATGTTCATTGCTTGACTGTTCTTGAATGAATAAATTTTAATTGCAATACTCCCCAAGATATTAATATCATCAGTGTACTAGAGCAATAAACTTCATAGACAGAACTACTAGCCATTATTTTACATGATATTTTAGTTACTTTTTTAAATATTAATGAATGCAAATGAACAAAGTAATTTTTTTTTGTAACTTCCATCACCTACACAGTGTCAGGAAACATATTTCATCCGATAAACTCAAAAACTGATTTGTGCTACAAGAAGATGTGAGCCAAGATCTATAACCATCTAATGTTGCATTTCTTACTACTTTTTACTCCTATAAGGCAGCTGGAGTGTGAGCTCAGTGAAATCTTCTTGGCTTCACAAGCTCCTGTGTTGGCAACAGAGGACTGAATTTCATCTTGTTATTTTAATTTCAATCGAATCAATTAATGTTGGTTTTACAAAAATTCATCCATTGATTCCCCCTTCTCAACTCCTATCCTTGCTGGAGTCATAAGGTTTGGTTTTCCTTCCATGAGTTAGGAATGCTGGCTCTTCCTGATGCTGAGCAGGTAGAGATGTTCAGTGAGGGCACTATGAATGCTACTGAACATCCTGAGCACTGGAACAGATCTGTATATATCTTAATTTTAAAATTACTTCTTAATCTCAGCCTTTTTATATCCTTGAATATTTCTGTAGAACTTAGCATAAAACCTGTCTTGCATAAAGATAGTCTCATGTGTATTTTCAGGATTGGGGCCATAGAGAATAACCCAAATCACAACATTATTTTTAATTACACTCTACTATATGAATAAGCCCTCACTAGTCATGATCAATTTTAGATGAAGTAAAACATTAGTTCAAGTAAAAAGCTCATCTACCATTGCTGCACTGGAGTTGTTTTTCAATTAAGGAAATATTTGATCCATTAAAGTGAATGTTAAATATGATGTGGATATCATAAACACACAGTACTACACTGAAAAATTCTTGCAGAAAATGAAAGTTCCCTTTCAGCTCCAAGGGTGTAAAAGATTTACTAGCAGTTTAGAGAGCTCTTATTGAAATTGACTACAAATTTCCTTCAAATGTAACTTAGGTTGTTTCTATTTTCTACTGTGAAAATTCAAATATGTGTTGCAGGTGAGGACAGTGTATGTGATCCCCTCTAAAAAGAAAGCTCTAAAAAGAAAACTAGGCTCATTCTTCTGATAAAGTTCTTTCCCTCTGTCCAGCCACCACCCCCAAATGTAAAGGCATGACAAGTTCCAGCTCCGCCTTCCATACCCAAATCTGCTCCTCTGTGAGGGAGAGGCATTTCCACACAAAACAGATCTACCTCTGCAAGCCATGCTGCTGCATATCCCACTGTAAGATG